ACAAGAAATTCCTCTTCTCCACTTAGAAACTGAAATCAAGACCTCTTGGCTAATGATAATAATAATAATAATAATAATCCATCTCCCACTCCTTCCTAAGGAAGGCTTCTAGCTGGGTTTCTTGTCAAAAGTAAAGACTCCAGCACTCACAGGGGTTAAAGTGTTGGGGGAAAAAAGACCTCCAAAAGGAGAAATTTGTTTTCTCTTGGAAAAGCCACACTTGCCTGTCCTGGGGAGCAGGATCCAGACCCTCTAGAGGCAGCCAGGGCCGAGCGGCTGGGACAGCACAGGGGTGAGAACACACAGGGATGTGGAGGTGCAGGACACCCCCATGGGATGATGCCACCACATGTGCAAAGAGGTGGGGGTCCAAGAGTGGATTCCTGCTTGTGAAGGGGGGGGGGGAGCTCTGCCCACCTGGGGTGGGTGCTCACCCCGGGGTGAAGAGCACAGGGGAACCCCTCAGGAACCCCCCCTCCCCACCAAAGGGGTCAGGGCACGGATGTCCTCCTCCCCCAGCACCTGCAGCAGGGCCTCCAGCATCATGCCCTCCTCCCGTTGCCATGGGAACCCAGACATTTCCCCCCCCCCCCATCATGGACCAAAGCTTCCTACCCTCCCTCCATGCAGGCCCAGCCGCCTTGCCCATCCACCCCGTCGCCATGGCAACCCAGGCGTCCTCACCCCTTCCCCATCACCACAGACATCCGGGTGTCCCGCCGGACCCACACGGGACCGGGCCGGGGGGTGAGCAGAGGCCTTCCCTCCCGTCCCAGCCGGTACCCGGGGCCGGGCCGCGCTCACCCGTTCTTGAGATCGACCTCCAGGATCTTGCCGTAGCCCTTGAAGAAGCGCTCCACGTCCCGCTCCCGCGCCTGGTAGCTGAGGCGGCCGATGTACACCCGCGGCATGGCCGAGGGGCGGGGCTGCACCGGCGGCGCGCCGCGAGCAAAGGGGGAGGGGCTAGGCGGCGGCGTCACGTCATGACGCAGCGCGGGAAGAAGAGAGGGGAGGGCCTTAATAGGAATACGGCAAGGCAGGCCACGCCCCCAAGCCCGCCTGCCGGCTCTTAAAGGGGCCGCGCCGCTGTGTGGCCGCTGTATGGCTGTATGGCCGTTTCCCGTATGGAGGGGACGCATCGATTTCCCCTTTCCCTATATGCAGGGCGCTAATGGGAGGCCCCCATGCGTCAGGGCGCTTGTGGGGTGATAAATAGGGTGTGCGGGGGTCACCCTTCTCCGTGGTCTGGGGGGCCTATGTGGACGCCATTCCCCATGAACAGGGTGGTGGTGGAGGCTGCCCTCCCATGGTCAAGGACATGTGGGGGTCTCCTCCGCCATGTACGTCCCCCATGGGGGGGGTGGCAGTTCCCTTTCTCATGGGTTGGGGGCACCCCACAAGGTCCCCTTTCCTCACGTGCCAGGCATTGGTGTGGGGAGGTCCCCTATACCAAGGTGCTTATGGGGTCCTCTATAGGGCAGGGCCTTGTGGGGTGTCCCCAGTACAACAGATATTGTTAGGCCCCTCCTTCCCCAGACACAGAGGGGTATCCCCCATCCCTGCACCCGGGGTGCTCAGGATGCCCCATGGCATCCCTCCCTGGGGACACCCCCCATTGCTGGCCATGCTCAGCCATTCCTCATTCCCATCAATGAGCTGCGACACCTCTCTTGCAGCTCCCTAAATGCCGTTTAGGGGGGGACGGACACACACTTATTTCAATTGACACATTGGGTGCCTAAATCCCACCAAACCCCAGCAGAGGCTCAGGTTAGCAGCCACCACCCTTATAGAACCCCCACCATCACCCCCAAAACCTCCATCCTGCGTGTGTGCAATGCCAGCAGCTGGATTGCCAACCGGGATCCAGCTCATCCGACAAGTGGAGTTAAACTCCGTTATTTATTCCTTCGTGCCCTGGTGTAGGAGTAAAGCGCTCGGGAACATCATGTGCCATGGAGCTCTCAAACGCTTGTTAGGTTTTATTGCCCAGTCAAACAAACAAGGGGGTTAAAGCTTTGCATTAATTTCTCTGGTTTATGTCATCCTTAATAGTGCTTTGAACCATCCCAGAGTCCTCTCCATGCTTTTGCCATCCGCTTGCGGCACCGATCGGGAAAGCTCTGGGCCACACGACGCTGCTCTGCCTCCATAGCGATGGGAGAGCCCAGAGGAGATGCTGGGTTCCATGCTCTGCCTCTATGGGGCCATTTTGCTGCTGGGATTTTAGAGCAGCCCAAAGTCTCCATAGGAAAAGCCAAGAGGCCTGTGCTGGGTGCAAAGCAGCCTGGCCCATAATGGACCCCATCAATTCAATGTAAAGGTTGGAGGCTGCCAGTTTGCAGGCATCTCCTCTGCTGCAAAAGAGCTCCTGTGGTGCCAAATGGGAGCTGAGGGGATGGGAACATCCTCAGTAGAGCACAGGGGATACCACAGAATGATGGAAGCGTTTAGGTTGGAAGGGACCTTAAGGTTCATCCAGCTCCAACCCCCTGCCGTGGGCAGGGACACCTATAAAGGAGCTCCAAGTCCTGTCCTTGCCTTCCCCAGGAGCCTCAGCTGTGCTGAAACAGCCACTGAACAGACAGAACATTCCCATGGGAACTCCTCCCGAACCCAGGAGCGGGTGCACAGAGCTGGCCCGCTCGGGGGGGATGCTCAGCACCCAGCTCAGGGCCGTGTCCCAGTGTGGGAGCCCAGCCCTCGCTGCCGTGGCGGTGGCCGGTGTCACCATCAGCCAGGCTGGGGCCAGGGGAGGCTGCGGAGCTCAGGGTGCCCCACGTGTCCCTGCCCTTGTGGCTGGTGCAGCACCTCCTGCAGCAGTGGATGAGCTGCGGGACACGGTCCCCAGCCTGAGGGACAGGAGGGAAGCTGAGAGGGAGCTGGATGCTGGCTCCAGCTCCAGCTGTGGGACCTGCAGGACACTGCAGAGGCCATGGGCATCCCCCTCGGCACACATGGAAAGGAAGGGCATTAATGCAGGGGTCACTTCTGGGCTCACAACAGCTCTCTCCAGGAGAAGACAACGCGGCTTTCCAGCAACTCCTGCTGCCTCCTGCTTCCTGTTGCCAGGAGATGGGCGCCGCGCATGGAACCGTCATGGAGCCATCATGGACAACCGGTGTCACGGCGATGCTGGAGGATGGAGAGGCCGCCGGTGCCACGGCCCTTCAGGCTGCTCGGGGACCACTTGCAGCCAAGCCCAGGAACCAAGTGGTGATAGAGATGCCTTCACCAGAGGCATCCTCAGCATCGAGGAGGTGACACCGGAGCACGTTGGGGTGCTGCCACCGCACCTCCCACAAAGGAAAGCACCCGTCAGGGTTTGCCTGATGCATCCCGCGCCCTGACCATGCAGTTCTGTGTCCTGGAGACCTCTGCCAGCCCCAGCCCGTCTGCATCCTCCTGCTTCCCCTTTGTGCTCTGGAAGCTTGGCTGCTGCTTCCAGTCCAAGTCCATCTGCTGGGGCAGCAATGGAAGCTGCACTGTCATCGCAGGGAAACCCCTCCACAAGGAAGGGCTCAGCAGGGGGAACCCCATGAGATCTTTGAGGCCAAGAGGGCATGGTCACAGACACCCCATCAAGGAGCTGCAGCAGAGCCTGCTCTGGGGCAGCTACGTGGGTTCCTCCGCACACAAAAGAACCCGCAGGACAGGCAGGGAGAGAGGTTCATGTCCAGATGAACCAAGTCTTGCTAGGGAGGAGATGGGATGGGAGCGAAGGGCTCCTGTTCAGCAACGCTGGACGCAGGAGCAGGAACGCTGGCAGAAGAGCTTTGGGTTATTTCTGCTGCCTTTGGGCCCGTGACACACAAAGACGGTGCCATCGTCTGGTGCTTTTCTTGTGCTTGCTCCGTATCTGCCTGCACCAAGCGTTTCCATTGCCTCCTGGCAGCTGCTGACTGCTCACAAGAGACACCTCAGCACCAGCAGCGTTCCAACAGGCCCGTTCCACACGCGGGTGCTCCAAAACGAGAGCTATTTGGGTTTCTGCATTGGATTTTAGGCTTTTGAAGACCCTGCGCTTCCCAGCTCCCAGCTGCACCCACACGGGTGGTTAGCACTGACCTAAACTCTCCCCTAACACTTAATTCAGCCCAAACCAGAGGTTTAAAATGCACCAGGAAGTCCTTTGGAATCCTCGGGTTTGCCCTTTCCCATGCGGATCCTGAGTTCCCGGATCTCTGCCTCTCCTCCTTGCACCGCTCGCAGCTGACTCCTCTCCTTTGCATTTTGTAGCTGCTCTTCTACCACCACCCCTATTTCCAGAGGGATCACCCCAACCTCCTCAAGATGGAGACGATGGCAGAAGGTGCTGGTGACCGGTTGGGAACAGCCGCTGCAGCTCCCCCCAGGCCCCAACGTGAAGGACACCCATGGGAGAAGACCCCAACGTGGTGCCCCCAGCACCAGCACTGCATTAGGCCAAACGCAGTGAAAGGCTTTGCAATGCCTTTTGGAAGGGACTCCAGGCTCTTGTCCCCCTGCCCTATTGCTCTTAGGATGAGCCCCATCGTTCCCATTGCGGTAACTGTGGGGAAACAAAGGTCTTTGCCTTAGGGCAGTGCTGGGTTCGGTGCCCAGGAGGTGCTAATGGAGGAGCCCCAAACCACATCCATCCCCCAGCTGCCTTTAGCAGGATGCTGCTTATCTGCAACTGCAATTGAAGCTTTATAGGATGGAAAACCCTGGTGTTTGTGTCCCTGCTTGTGGTCCTGAAGGTCCCTTCCAACCCAAACCATTCCATGCTGCAGGACGAGGAAAGACCCACTGGTGCCACCCTCATGGCATGCAGCCCCATGTGAGCACAGAGCCATTTATTGTCAGCAGCTTGGACAACCAGGCTTGTATTGGACATTGAATTCCATGAGGTTCTCCTCGCAAGCAGCAGTGGAAGAGCAGCAAAACCCAAGTCAAATCCAGGCTGGGCAAAAAGCCCCCCTTTGCCCTGCAGGCAGCCGGCCAGGAGCTCAATGGCACCACAAGCATCAGTGCTTCTTGTTCTCAGTGCTCCTGCCCATGGGTAACTTGAGCTTTCCCCTCCCCTTTCTTTGCTGTTTGAGGTCGGGTTTGGGATCAAGTGTTGCCAAAGGCTGGAAAACCCCCTTGTGCTCAGGCCTTCATAAGCATCCCCTGCCCCCGTCCTGCAGCACAGCATGGGCCGGGTGGGGAAAAACCATGTTAAAAGGGAGAAAAACCTGGGTTTTCCCTGCGTTTCAGTGGAGGGAATGCCCCCAAACCATGGGCTCTTGGCTGCTGCATTGGGAGGGGGCACATGGAGGTGGCTCAGGGGCCGCAGTAGCGAATGCAGCTGGGAGAAAGGCCCTGCAATACCCTGCAAAGTGACCCGAAAGCACCCAAAAATCACCTATGGGGACAGTGCAAACAGCAGAACCACACTGGCACCACTAACACAGGCAGGAAGCAGCCCCAAAACACTCGTGTGAGGGAGAGCCGCTGCTCTCCTGCCTCCCTGAGCTGAGCCAATGCAGCCCCTGCGCTCCCTGAGCATCCTCCTGCAGGCAAGCTCCCCCAGGTAAAGCGAGATGCAGGCTCCCTGCACATCAGCGGTGCACGCTGCCAGCCGTGCGGAGCTGCACAGGGCTTTAAACCTTCAAATAGGCTCCTCAAAGTGTGAAAATAGACAAAAATCAACAGATCTGGAGGTTTTCCCCCCCCCATCTCTGAGCCCCTCCGAGGCAGCAAGGGGAAGCGTGGCTGTGGGGAGCAGCACCGAGCTGCAGCTCAGAGGAGGAGGATCTGCTTTGAGGACGTGAAGGGCTTCATGGCAGCTTCCAGAGCCTCCCTGTAGTCCTGGAGAGGGACCTGGGTGCAGGTGGGTGCGGTGAGGTGGCCCCTGCGGATGAGCTGGCACAGGGCATCCATCATGGTGGCCACGCTCTGCTGGTCTGCGAGGGAAGGAGGGAGCTCTCACCCCTATATCCCGGGCCAGAGCCCCGCAAGAAGCCATGCAGGGTCCTGGGGTGTGATGTGCTCCCAGCTTGGATATGTGGGATGGGGCAAGAGCGCCGTGGTGGAACTCCAAATCCAAGTCCCAGCCGCAAGACCCAGTGCGGGTGCTTCAGCTGCCCCAAGGACTTACACCAGAATCACAGAAGGGTTTGGGTTGGAAAGGACCTCAAGATCATCCAGTTCCAACCCCCTGCCATGGGCAGGGGCACCTCCTGCTAGCCCACATCACCCAAGGATCCGTTCACCCTGGCCTGGAGCGCTGCCAGGGATGGATGCTCTCACTGGTGGTTTGGCCCCCATGCCGGTGCTCACCCACTGCATCAGTGCCACCCCTCAGCACCCCCAGCTCACCCTGCTCATGGTCCTTCCTCCACTGCGTCATCCAGAAGCCGCGGAGCCGCACGTCCCGGAAGATGAAGGCGCTCTGCGGGGAGAGGGATGGGAGAGCCCAGAGGAGATGCTGGGTTCCATGCTCTGCCTCTATGGGGCTATTTCCCTGCTGGGATTTTACAGCAGCCCAGATTCTCCATTGGAAAAGGCAAGAGGCCTGTGCTGGGTGCAAAGCAGCCGGGCCCATAATGGACCCCATCACTTAAATAAAGAGAAGATTGGAGGCTCCCAGTTTGCAGGCATCTCCGTGGCCTCCTCTGGCCTCGCTCCAGCAGCTCCACATCCCTCTTGTGCTGTTGCCCCAGAGCTGGATCAGGGCTGTAGGGGGGGTTCTCCCCAGAGCGCAGCAGAGGGGGAGAATCCCCTCCCTCGACCTCAGCACACCCTGAGGGACACCAAGCACACCTCCAGTACTCACCACAGGCACCATCACAGGCTGCTTTGCCATCCCACCGTAGGTGACCATGGTGCCTTTGGGCCTGGAAGAGGAAAGGGGGATTTGGTTTAGTGGTCCCCAATTTGACCTTGCCCAAGCCACCACCCGGTCAAACTTACTGCAGATGCCGCAGCATCTCCGTCGTGCTTTTGCCTCCGACGCAGTTCAGGGCGAGCCGGGGCTTTGGGATGCTCTGCAAGAGTGTATTGAGGGGATGCCCAAATTTTAGGGCTCCTTTGAAGGATGGGATCGTGGTCCCTGAGAGATCAACTGCCTTAACCTCACCATTTACTTGGGGACAGCAAGGTCTGTAACCTGGCCCTCACAGTAGCAGCAAAAGCCCTCAACACCTGGAGCTAAGTCCTGATCTAGAGAGAGATTTGTCCTTCCCACCATTCCTGCACCACTGGACTGCAGGGAGAGCCCTGGATGGTCTCTGCTGGCATCAGCATTGGGGTACCTTAAATATATCTTTCATTTCTGGCTTTCTCAGCATCTCCTCTGTGACAACATGGTCGGCACCCAGGGCCGTCAGCCTCTCCACCAGCTTTGGGAGATCAGGCCTGGGGGGAAGAAAAGAAACCAAAGACTCAATAAGCCAGAAAGCAGAGGGTCCCCTTCTCCTCCCTCCTGCTTGGACTGGGGACAAGAGGGCAGAGGCTGGGGGACAGCTTGGAGCAGCAAAGAGGTGAAAACCCTGAGGTGGATGAGCAGGACGACCAGATCCAGCTCCCAAACGTGCCTAAGCATGGCAACCACCAGCTTGCCATATGGCCAACCTCCAGCCCAGGCTGAGGGCAGCTCCTGCCCTACAGGAGACCTTCCCCTCTCCCCATGGACCCACCTGTCCCTCACCACGTTGACGGTCTTGATGCCAGAGGCTTTGGCAATCTGGATAACAGCCTGCCCCACGCCGCTGTTGGCAGCGTTCTGGATGACGGAGTCACCTGGATATGAGCAAACCCGGAGTTTCACTGCAGGAATGACTGGCAAATCCACCTGGAATACTCCTTCCACCCAGCAAAGCCGTACCTGGCGCCAGGGTCTCGAAGTCAGCCAGCATGCGGTACGCTGTGCAGGGGTTGACGCTCAGGGTGGCGGCGCTCAGCACCGGGATGTCACTGGGCACCTTCAGCAGCATCCGCTCAGGGAACACCCCCTGCGTCCGCCACGTCCCTGGGTACCAGCGGCATCGCAGGCAGGAAGGTGGGCGAGGAAAGGAAACGGTGATGAGACCTCACCACGCACCACAGCCTTGGCGCTGGTCACAGCAGCATCACCACGCGGGGGGGGTGCTTTATGGAACAGCCTCCCCCATGGATACGGCCAAAACAGTGCAAAAGGCAGGGGATGGATCCCCCGTTGCCTGCTGAGATTTATCACCCAGCCAAGGCGAATCATTTCCCAGAGGGATAATGAGACCAGGGCTCCCTGGGTGCAGGGAGTGTGTGGAGATAATGGAAATACTCCCCATCCTACAGATGAGCCCATATATTCAAAGCCAATTTAGTTAGATTTACTCCCTCTATACTTAGATCTGATTTAACCCCCTACCATCCATTTACTTCTGCTTTTTATGTTTAAAAATATCACATTTGGATCTCAACGACATCACTTGCCTTCTCCCATTAAGCAAGGGAAAAAAAAGCCTTTTAAGAGGAAACAGGCGAGGAACAAGCTGCTGCACTAAACCAGAACCCATCATTTGTCTGGCCATTGGCATTTTGGAGGAGCACAAGAGACATTTGTTGGAAAATAAATCCCCCTGCTTTCCCATCAGAGCACTATTAAAGAGAACACTGTAATGAGATGTAACCATGACCTTGCACAGGGTAAATGCTTTATCCCAGGTCCTTAAAGAAGTTCTAAGCAGATGTGACAAAACATGCTTGTTCGGAGATTGCTGCGATGCTTTTTACTGGCACAGAAGCCCCATAAAGGGTCTATGCTATAGAAAAGTGAATTATTTCTAAGTTCAAGTTTAGCATAAGTAATGGCATTGCTGTTGTAAGTGCTCCAGGTTTCTGCACTGCACGTGTCCCATGCACAGGAGCCTCTTCCCTGGGGAACCCCATCCTTCCCTTGAGCCCCCCCTGCATCCGCAGAGCATCACTCACTGTGGTCAGGAATCAGACACTGAGCTTGCTTTGAAAAGAAACATGTTAAAACTAAAAATAACCCCTGGAAATAACAGAACTTAAACCAAGATATAAAGAGGTGAGAAATTAAGATGCCTTGGATGCAGGTTTGGGCATCCCAAAAACCCCAAGAAGGTGCTCTGCAGGTAGGGGGGATGCAGGAAGAACTCACGAGGGAGCAAGGATCATAGAATCCCAGATTAGTTTGGGTTGGAAGGGACCTTAAAGCTCATCCAGCTCCAAATCCTGCCACAGGCAGGGACACCTTCCACTAGAGCAGCTTGCTCCAAGCTCCTGTGTCCAACCTGCCCTTGAACACTGCCAGGGATGGGGCAGCCACAGCTTCTCTGGGCACCCTGTGCCAGCGCCTCAGCACCCTCACAGGGAAGAGCTTCTGCCTTATCTCCAACCTGAACTTCCCCTGTTTCAGTTTGAACCCATCACCCCTTGTCCTGTCCCTACAGTCCCTGATGAAGAGCCCCTCTCCAGCATCCCTATAGCCCCCTTCAGACACTGGAAGCTGCTCTGAGGTCTCCACACAGCTTCTCTGCTCCCGGCTGAACAGCCCCAATGTTCTCAGCCTGGCTCCATGCAGGAGCTGCTCCAGCCCCTGCTCATCCTCGTGGCCTCCTCTGGCCTTGCTCCAGCAGCTCCATGCCCTTCTGATGCTGAGGACACCAGAGCTGCACACGGTGCTGCGAGCGGGGTCTCAGGAGAGCGGAGCAGAGGGGCAGGATCCCCTCCCTTGTCCTGCTGCCCACACTAAGGTGCCCCAGCCGTGCCGTGCCTCCTGGCACTGAGGATGCCGGGCGCGCACTCACCGAGTCCGGAGGTGGCCGGGATGACCCAGTCCCCAGGTTTCAGAGCTGCCACACGACTCCCGACCTCCAGCACCTCCCCGACACCTTCATTGCCTCCCACAGCCGGCAGCGGGGAGAGGATGGCGTACGTCCCTGCCGGGAAGCCAGAGGTGAGCATCACACCCCAGGCCTCCCCATCCCAGGTACCACTTCCAAACCCTCCAGGACATCCCGCCGGGAGCATCCCGCAAGATACAGCATGCAGAAAGGATGCAGCCGGAGCGGTACCTTGGATCATATTGATGTCAGCAGGATTGATGGGAGCTGCCAACATCTTGACGTGGACATCGGTGTCCCCCAGCTTGGCCACTTCGATGTCCTTCAGTCTGAGCAGGGAGACACAAAGGAAAAGTGCATTAATACAGCCTTGGGTGATGTTCTACCACCAACTACTTGAAATCCCTTCCTTTTTCCTAAAGGAGGTTAAATATTGAGGTTAAAGTTAATACCATGCAGCGCCTCAACCCTGAGCCAACACCTTGGGCATCAACTGATTTCCATCCCACTTAAAGACCTATCGGATTTATTAGACAGACTTTTGATGGCAATAGCCTAACAAAACCCTGGGTCACCAAGCAAGAAAGTCACTGATCTTAACAAATTCAACAGGTTACATACAAAAATGCAGCAGTTTGGGCATTTTGGGGCTTATCCTGCCCCACTTGAGCATTACAGGAACTTGGGTACCAGCAGCAGAAAGGAGAAGTGATGAAGCACAAGACGTGCACAAGCAACAGGGCGAGGGCAAATCAGCAGCACTGTTGCACAATGGCCATAAGGGAAAAGCAAGTGTCCCTGCCCCAGAAACCCCCCTGGGTTTTGTGTCTGGCTGCACCCAGATGATGTACGGGCACCTCCTGTGGTTTTAGGGGTGATCTGAGTTGGTGCAAGCAGGGCAGCAAGTCCTCGAGGTGTCCTCCCTTGGCAAAACACGGCATCAAATCCACCAAAATGGGACTTTCGCCATACCCCTCCCCGCAGTGCACCCCACTACAGCCCCTCTGTACCTGCACCCCTGCAGTGCACCCCACTACAGCCCCTCTGTACCTGCACCCCCGCAGTGCACCCCACTACAGCCCCCCTGTACCTGCACCCCCGCAGTGCACCCCACTACAGCCCCCCTGTACCTGCACCCCCGCAGTGCACCCTACAGGCCCCCTGCACCCCCCTGTACCTGCACCCCCGCAGTGCACCCCACTACAGCCCCTCTGTACCTGCACCCCCCGGTACCTGCACCCCCCGTACCTGCACCCCCGCAGTGCACCCCTCTACAGCCCCCCTGCACCCCCCCGTACCTGCACCCCACTACAGCCCCCCTGCACCCCCCGTACCTGCACCCCACTACGGCCCCCCTGCACCCCAATACATCCCATGTCCCCCCTTACTGCACCACGGCAGCGGGCTCCCCGTGTCGCTCATAGAGCAGACCCCGGGCCCCCCGCAGCACCCGCGCTGCCGCACGCTGCATTTCGGCTCGGCTCGGCTGGGTTCGGCTCTGCCCGGCTGGGCTCGGCTCGGCTGGGTTCGGCTCGGCTCGGCTCGGCCCGGCTCAGCTCGGCTCGGCTCAGCTCGGCACTACTCGGTTGAGCCCGGCGCGGTCACCGGCAGCGTCACGCGTGTAGCCCCGCCTCCTCCGGGTCGGCCCCGCCCTCCGCCGGCCTTAAGGCGGCCCGGGCACACATGCGATGAGCCGGCGGGGTCTCTGTAGGGCAGCGCGGGGGTCTCCCGGCATCCGCGGGGCCGGGCTCCTGCTTCCGAGGTTAACTGTGGCATGGGCAGAGCCGTGCCAGCCCGGAGGCCTCGGTGATGGGCGCAACGGGAGCTGTTTTGGGGAGAATACCCCATTTCCGATGATTTATTAATGGGGGCTCCCAGCCGCCCAGGAGGGGATGTCCGTGCTTCCAGTCGCTGGGGGGGGGAAGCCTTATGGCAAACGATGATTCCTTCAAATAGCAGATGCCTGACACAAGCGGTGAGACAAGAACAAGTAATAAATCCTGCTCCTGATTTAATTCACTGTTTTCTATAATTATCTTGAAGGAAAGGTCTCATTTATCCTTCTAATTAAAACTGATGAGATCGGAGGGGAAAAAGGGAAGCGCAGGCGCCTGTCTCGCTGATCTAGCTGTCACACAGAACAAGCACCGGGTTTAAAACTAATTCCTGCTTTCATAGAGGGGATGGAATCCTGTGACTGGGTGCTGGGAGAGCTCGGTAAATCCCGGTTTGCTCATCGCAGCCTGCTTCTGTGTGCAATTAGCAGGTCCCTTCGTTAACACCATCACTCCCCTCGCCCGCTTGGCACCATGGAGGAGAGCACCGAGGGCACGATGGGGTGAGAACCTCGTGCTGGGGTCTACAAACAAACCCCTTTGGACAAGGGCCTGTAGGGCCAGGCCAAGGGCAATGGCTTTAACCTGCCAGAGGGGAGACTGAGATGAGCTCTTAGGCAGAAGCTCTTCCCTGTGAGGGTGCTGAGGCGCTGGCACAGGGTGCCCAGAGAAGCTGTGGCTGCCCCATCCCTGGCAGTGCTCAAGGCCAGGTTGGACACAGGGGCTTGGAGCAAGCTGCTCTAGTGGAAGGTGGCCCTGCCTGTGGCAAGGGGTTGGAACTGGATGAGCTTTAAGGTCCCTTCCAACCCAACCCAGTCTGGGATTCTTGATTCTAAGATTATCCCACTCTACTCGGCCCTTTTCAGGTCATACCTGCAGGTTTGGTCCCAGCATCTTTACCCTTGGAAGGAGCAGCGCTGAGCGTGGTGGGCACCATCTCCGCCATGACTGCTGCTTTAAACCAGCACTTTCACTGAATCACAGCAATAAAAACCAGGATTTTGCTTGCCTCAAACCCTGCAGCTTCCCGAGGATGCCCAAAGCGTTCCAGGTGGGGTGGCTCCAGCCTGGAGGAGGATGCTCGCCTGATGGGAGCAAGCACCCACACTCTGCACCATGTGGCAAAGGGTTAATCCCTAATTACGCTGGCATAATGAGCTGCTTTTCCATACCCTTGGAAACGTATGGATCCCCAAAGCGGGGCTGGCAGACAATTTATGATTATTTTGTTAATGTTTCTCTTGTAACAAGCACAGTTTCCTGGTGATTAATGACCACTTCAGAGCCTGGAATTGCATTTTTGTGTTGGTTAGGAGAGTGGCATGAAAACCCGCTTTGTAGCCGAGGCTTTTAAGAGTGGATACGGAGAGGAGGAAGAGGAGACGGCTTCCTCAGCACCCGGCGCCGCATTGGGTGCTCCAGCCAGGGGAAGGAGTGATGCTCTTGCTCCCCTCTCCTTTAACCCCCCAACATTGCTAATGAGCCATAATTTATCACAGCCTTGATTAATTATTCATCCTCATGCGTGGCTGGAAAGCAAACCCACTGTTTATAAGGGGGGTTTACTCTTGCAGGCGTGGAGCCTGGGGGGATGCAGGGATGGGTGGGGGTGACACCAGGGTGACACCAGGGTGATGGTTGCTGTGATTTAATCCCTACACCCTCAAGAGCTGGCTTACAAGGGACACCTCAAGAGCAGTGGGTTCAGCCTGACCCCGTGGGTGCTGCTCTCCCAGCCTGCATTGAGTTAATGTGGAACTATTCATTAACTGCTCCCAAGATGGGCACACTTTTTAATTAAGGAGAACAATACTAATCTATTGCCTCTTTGGTGGAGAAATGGAAGGTGTGTCGGCTTCGCTTAGGAACGATGAAGAAAGTTGAGGCTGGGGAGGTTTTCTTTGGGGGATGCTCAGCGTTGGGTCTCAGTGGCTTTCCCATGGCAACCAGATGTGGTCCAAGCTTTGCTGGACCTCCTGGAGACCCAACCCCGTTGCAGGTGGTCTGGGTTGGGATGCTGGGCTGGGATCCAGCATGGACGGGGCTTGGAGCAGCCTGCCCTAGTGGAAGGTGTCCCTGCCCATAGCAGGGGGTTGGAACTGGATGATGTTAAGGTCCTTTCCAACCCAAACTATTCAAACCCCGGCCTTGAACACTGCCAGGGATGGGGCAGCCACAGCTTCTCTGGGCACCCTGTGCCAGCACCTCAGCAGCCTCACAGGGAAGAGCTTCTGCCTAAGAGCTCATCTCTGGCAGGTTAAAGCCATTCCCTTTGACCTGTCCCTACAGGCCTGTGTCCAAAGGGATTTGTTTGTAAGCCCCAGGACAAGGTTCTCACCCACATCATGCCCTGGGTGCTCTCATCCGCTGCTGCATATGCCAAGGGAGGAGAGCTTTCCCCTTGCATGAAATTGAATCAAAGCAAACCAAACAAGCTGTAAAACCGACTGAAAAATAGGAATAAATAAATGCTGGATGCAATATTGTTCAGTCCTTTCCTTCCAGCAGGGCTGTAACTGAAGGCTGGATGTTCACCCTGCGCTCAGGCTCCAGCCTGTCAGCTCCAAGAGATGATGATGAGAAATTGGAGCAATATCCAAACCCCAGGCCTGGAAATAAAGAGCATTTGTGAGCTGGGATGTGATCAGAGACCCAAAATGCCCCTGGTTGATTTACATCCCTCTCTCCCTAAAAACCAACCATCCCGAGGCGATACCAGAGGAGGCAACACCGAGAGTTTAGGGGTTAAAAGTGGTTTATAACAATCCCAGGAGCAAACATTGATGCTCCCAGATGGCTCTGGAAAAGGGGAGGGAACTGACTCTGACCTTTGCATCCCAAATAACGGGGGTTTTAACTGTTCTGCACAGCACCGCTGGTGGATGCTGGGTTTAGGGAAGTGGAGAGCTATTCCCCCGCTTCCCCCTCGCCATCACAGAGGTCTTTTCAAGAGGTATTAAAAGAGACAGAAATGACCCCAAATGAAATAAATAAGCCCCAAACAGGCTTATGCAAATGGCATGGGTCTTTAGGCTAGGCCTGCCTAGGTTTTCCAACAAAATCCCTTTAAAATCCCACAGGGAGAATGTGAGGACATGCAGAGATCAGTCTGAGGTGGCTGGGGCAGTGCTGCCAGGTGGGACAGCTCCAGAGCATCTCCCCTGTGGATTGGGATGCTATGGGCCATGCTGGGGGTTTCCCTTGTACACTTAGGGCAGAATGCATGCAGCTGATGGGAAATGCAGGAGTAGCTCCAGAAAGCTCCTTCTGAGATGGAGAACAAGGTTTCCCTCTTGCAATGGGTGCCTGGGGTGTATAAGCAGCAGTTTTCTGGATGCATATGGTCCTCAAACTCAGCCATACATTGCACAGCTATGAGGCGGTGCCACTCAGTGCTGCTGGGGCAGCTCCTGAATGAAGAGTTAGCTCTGGGTGTTCCACTGATCCTTGGGCTTCCCAGTTAACTGCGGGGAAACACCAGCAACCCTTGAGCACAAAGCAAAGGGTGGGTTGGTGAGGGGATGGGTCTTAGGTAACACAGAATAACAGAACGGGTTGGGTGGGAAAGGACCTTAAGATCAAGCAGTTCCAACCCCTGCCATGGGCATCTGCTAACATTTTCCTGGCTATTTCCTCTGGGAAGTCTTGTTCTTTCTTTGCATTGAACAGGAATAGGGAGGTTTATTTGGATGAGGACACAGAAGTTATTTCATCCTTTCAGGCTGAGATAACTCATCTAATAGCTCTATTACATCCGGCCGCGGCACCGCGTCGGGTGTCTGACCACTCGGGGATGGACAGATGGGGAGGAGAGCGGCAGGATGAGATAATCTATTTTGTCTGTTAAGGAAGAAAAAGGGGTTTTGAGCATTAGTGAAAGGCAGGTGATTTGAGAAAATAGCCGAGACTTATTAGAGAGAAAGAACAGGATGGGGGTATAATAGGTGGAGGTATAGGAAAGGCCAAAGGGAGGGGGGGTGGAGGGGAAGAGGGAGACTGACTATAGGTATAAGGGGAAAAGGGGGGAAAAAAGGCAAAAGGTGGAAACTTGGGTGTGAAATTGCTTCATTTTCACTGCAAGGTGCTGGGGGTTGTGTCCCTGCAGCGTTACAAGAGCTGTATCTGCTCCGCTTGGAGTGATGCTCAGGGAGGTAACGACTGACCTATGGGTTTAATGGGGGAAAATGGGGCTTTATTGTGTTGGCAGCAAAACGGGGTATTCTGAAGTGAAATTAAGATTGAAAGGGGTTTGGGGTGGAAGCCTTGGTCAGTGTGGAGGTGTTTGTCCACTGCTTTGGGTGAGGCGGGTGGGTGCTGCAGCTCCATCCCATGGGTGCGGGATAAGGGCTTGGGGCAGCTCCTCTCCCTCCATCTGCCTTTTGATGGGAATAACTGGGACCAAAACAGCCGTCCCCAAAGCACAGCTGACTCCGGAGAGGTTCAAAGCCCCAAACCTCAGCTTTTTACCCCCAAGCAGGGAGAAGCCAAGGGATGTGATGGGGCTGCGATGGCTGTGATTGAGGCTGCTGTCACTGGAGCTGAACACATTTCTCCTTCGGATGGGAGGGATGGTTTCAGTCGAGACCATTTGCAATCACAGCAAGGCCTGTATTTTCCCTGCAAATGACTATATTTGAAGAGTGATTACTTCATTTGAACTCGATTGCTCCTGCAAAGCACTCGGGGGCTGATGGCAGCAGGGAGATGGGGCTGGGAAAGGGCTGGGGGGGACACCA